ACACTCATGGACCAAATAAAGTTCTTACCTTATTGTCAGTATGAAAATAAATTATGTGGGCTTTTTATTGTCTGTTTGGTAATATCTACAGTGGCCAATGAAAGAGAGCAAACATCATGCATGGAACTGACTACTGGTGGTCATTTTTATCACCTTCTCAGACCTCAGTCCTCTGAATTATTTAGCCTGCACCAGAAGCTCCAAACTGGCATGTCATTTGGCTACTTATAAACCAAATACAAAATCTACCCTAAAAGAAAAAGAAAGAAGCAATTCTTGCTAGATATCCCTCCAAATGGTTTAGAGCAGTGGTTCTGAACCTTGGCTGCACATTAGAATTCTTTGTTATGGGGTGAAGCCACATTAGTAACAAAGAAACAGAATTTCCGGAGGATGAGGCCCAGAAATCAGGATTTTAAAAAGATTCCCAGGTGATTCTAATGTGCAGCCAAGGTTCAGAACCAAGGTTTAGAGAGAAGTCTTCTAAAAAACCTGCCCAAATGTTTCTATTAAAACCAGGTGTTCCGAAGCTAGTATTGAGAGTAGCACCCATCCATACACCTTCCTGCTTCTTAATTGACTTCAAGTACTGTAACTAGGCTCCGCACATGATCAAACTGGACTAGAGCATATCAAGTATCTGATAAAATATTAGCTTTGGATGTTTTGGGGTTTTTTTAAAACATATTTTTATTGATTTCAGAGAGGAAGAGAGAGAGATAGAAACATCAATGATGAGAGAGAATCACTGATTGGCTGCCTCCTGCACACTCCACACTGGTGACCGAGCCGGTGCCCTGACCTGCCCTGACCTTCCCGGGAATCGAACTGTGACCTCCTGGTTCATAAGTCAATGCTTAACCACTGAGCCACACCAGCTGGGCTGCTTTGGATTTTTTTAATGCAAATGTTAATTGCTTAGGTCGAGCTTGGTTTTCCTATTCATAACATGCAGAGTTTTCATTTTTTCTTTTTTTTTCTTTTTTTGCAGAAGGTTACATATCCATCATAGTTCTTTATTTTCCACTTGTATAGGTAACCAAGGTCGAGAGCCCAAAGCCTAAAATCCATCTATGGAAAAACAAACACTTTTAATACAAATTCAACCATGTACCTTCCTTTCCTATTATTTCAGTATAATATTCAGTGATCCTTCTACCACAAAGCTTTCACTGATCACTCTATTAAGAAATAAGTTATCCAACTTTATTTCCAACCTTCCAACAATATTTATTATTTCCTATCGCATAGTTTTTCTTTTAAAAGAATCAATTTCAGTGGCCATACCACTGTGAACGTGCCCAATCTTGTCTGATCTCAGGCGAATCACTTTCTGCCACATATTTAAGTTACTTAATGGATTTTTATTTTCTCCATTATTTGAACTAGACAATGTTTTAGATGCATTGTATTCCCCAAAGCACAGAGACTTAACTGCTTTCAAAATAATGTTTACAGACCATTGTGATCATAAAAAACTACTACATGTTCATTGTTCAACATTTTGAAAATACAGAAAAGTATAAAAGAGGAAATAAACGATGCCTATTCAATAGCCCCTTTCTTAAGTAGGTACATCTTTCTGGTTGTTTTGTCTTAAACATAGTTGAGAACATACTGTAATACAGTTCTCTATCCAGTGGTCGGCAAACTCATTAGTCAACAGAGCCAAATATCAACGGTACAACGATTGAAATTTCTTTTGAGAGCCAAATTTTTTAAACTTAAACTATATAGGTACGTACATTGTTATTAACTTAATTAGGGTTCTCCTAAGCAGTGATGGCGAACCTTTTGAGCTTGGCGTGTCAGCATTTTGAAAAACCCTAACTTAACTCTGGTGCCGTGTCACATATAGAAATTTTTTGATATTTGCAACCATAGTAAAACAAAGACTTACATTTTTGATATTTATTTTATATATTTAAATGCCATTTAACAAAGAAAAATCAACCAAAAAAATGAGTTCGCGTGTCACTTCTGACACACGTGTCGTAGGTTTGCCATCACTGTCTAAGGCTTAGGAAGAGCCACACTCAAGGGGCCAAAGAGCCGCATGTGGCTCGAGAGCCGCAGTTTGCCGACCACGGCATCCTATTTGTCCCCCATTTAACAATAATTTGTAAACACCTTTCCATAATTAAAATTCTGCATAAATATCTTTTTAAATGTCTGTATAGCACCATATCTTTCGATGATACCATAATTTGTTTCAACTGATCCTCTGCTGTTGGGCATTTAGACTTGTCAATATCTGACTTTCCTAACCAAAACGTTTAAAACATTTATGAAAATTCATTTTTAAAACATTTATCATAAGTTCCTTTGGATAGATTGCTAGAAGTGGAATTACTGGATCAAGGGGTAGGAACATTAGTGAAGTTTTTCATACACTGAGCCAACAACCTTTTCAGAAAGGTTGTAAACCCCTCACAGCATCCGAGAGTGTCTGCTCCACTGCACACTTACTAAAGTGGGGAGCTATAATTTTTAAAAATCTATGTAAACAAAAAGCTGGAAAAATGTGCCTTGCCATTGCTTCAATTTCATTTCTTTGATTAAGAGAAAGCATGTTCATATGTCTACGCGCCATTTCATTTTCTTCTCTATGGATAGCCTGTTCCTGTCTTTTGCCCATGTTTCTGCTGGAGTCTGTATTTGTTTTCTATTGCTACGTAATTCATTTCCACAAACGTAGTGGCTTCACACAACACCCATTCTGTATTTCAGAGTTCTGGAGGTCTGTATCTCGGTGGGCGTGGCTGCATTCTCTCCTCGGGGTCTCTATCTCAAGGCTGCAATCAAGGGGTTGGCCAGGAGGGGCCTTTAACTAAAGGCACGGCCACAGAATCCAGTTCTGAGCTCAATCCATTTGCTGGCAGACTCCAGTTACCTGTGGCCCTAGGTCTGAGGTTCCAGTTTCCATGCTGGGCGACCCTCAGCAACTCGAGGCCCCCCACATTTCTCAAGGTGGCCCCTGTTCCTTCGCAAGTGTCCCTTCCATCTTCAGAAGAGCAACAGCAGGGTCAGTCCTTCTCAGATTCAAATCTCTCTGATTTGCCCAGGCAGAGAAAACTCTCTACTTTTATGGGCTCCTGTGACTACATCAGACCAACCCAGATAATGTCCCCTTCCTAAATTTAACTGTGCCATATAAAACACATTCAAGGGGTATTTCATCATGGGGATGAGGGCATGCAATCTTGGGATAGGGGCATTTCTAGAACTGTGCCTGCCATAGACTCTTAGGCACTATCTTTTTGTAATTTGCTTGTGCTCTTCATGATGCCTTAATTGCATGCATTTGTCGAATAAACGAATCTTACTGGTGACTGCCAAAGTTGCATTTTCGCGATGGCAAAGGCCACTGTGGATGGGGCTGCTGTGTGCTAATACATAACTTTGCTAACACGGATACTTTTTTAAATTTGTAATCGTGGGGAAACTTTTACAATACACATTATATAAAATTTGCCATCTAAATCCGTTTTAGGTGTACAGTTGAGTACCGTTAAGTACATTCACACTGTTGTGCAACCAATCTCTACAACTCTTCGTCTTGCAAAACTGAAACTCTATACCAGGTTAACTATTCTGCATTTTACCCTCCTCTTCCCCAGCTCCTGGCTACCACCATCTTCCTTTCAACACTGCTTTACTTTTATTTTATGTATTTATTAACAAACACGCATATAGCAACTGCTACATACACGGTCGAAGTACTTTAAAGATATTAACGCATTTATTCCTCATAGCAATCCTATGAGATCAGTACTGTTCTTATCCCCATTCTACAGAGTAAGAAACGCAGTAAGTAAATGGTCCAAGATTACAAATGGGAAGTCATCACGAAGGAATTCAAACCCAATCTGGCTTGCTAGTTCCTGCTATCAACCACTACACTGTGAAAATATTCACCGTAGAGACGTCATCAGGCATCAACAGTATTTCCTTGATGTGTACATTTAAAACACTTCCCTATGTGCAATGTAACCGAATATTCTTCCACTAACTAAAAGTTACATTATGTGACCAAGGAGCTACATGTCTACTGAACTTTTAGCCCAATGATGGTTCAGGCATGTTCATGAAGTTAACGAAACAAAAAGAAAACAACGGTCTTGAATTTATTTTAGGTACTCCAATTATAACTTGCACATGGTAGTTTATAATAAAATAACTTATGAATGAATACAAATCACAATTCACTGTGACGGCTGAAATGAAAATATTACCAAAAAAAACCCAAAAAACAAACAAAAAAAAAACCCCAGGTGTTTCTCTTTTCCAAGGAGGAGCAAAGAAAAGGAGAAGGAAAACTTCCCAATAAGTTGACAACAGCACACAGCTCCATCTGTTTCACCTGGGAAATCCAAGTCTGCCCTGCTTTGCAAGCCATAACTCTAGATCAGTCCTAGCTTGTCACCCACGTGTGCACATCGGTAGTAACCCGTTCCATGGGAGGAGAGGGTCTGAAATTCCCTTATCCTGCTTTTCTTAGCTCAGTAATTCTCTCACAGGAGACCAAGCCATGCTTGCCGTCGGTTACACAGTTGCATTTATTTTACATTAAAGGTGAGCGGAGTCGACGGAAGGAACAACACTTGTGTCTCCCGGAGCCCAGCTTGATGTAAGGTCAAAGCTCTGCTGAGGTCTGGCTTCTTGGACCCGGGGGAGGGGGAGGGGTGGGGGTGGAGGTGGGGGAGGGGTGGGGGCTGAAGACAACGCACAGAACAGGACCAGCAATGGCACTGCCTTCCACTTACACACCGAGTCCATACGAACGAGCAGACGAGGCACCAGGGAGTCTCCCCTCACCCATCACCCATCACCCACTGCATCTTAGTGCAGCCTCCAGAATGAAATAAAAAAAACAGCGCCTGGAAGAAACAGCGAGATCATCACCGCTGCCCGGGGGAGCGCTCGGATATTTACCACCCAGCCCTCCCCACCCCGCCCCCGGTGGCCAGCAGGCTGCCCAGAAGCTGGCAGATGCTCACCTGGCCCCGCCGCTTCCTGCCCTTCACCTGCCGGGCCTGCCGTCCACTCCCGGCTCGGGCTGGGCTTGCAGACCCGCCCGACTCGCGGTGACAGCCCGGCCCGGCCGCGAACCCTCCCCGACCGGCCGCGAACCCTCCGACCGGCGCTCTGTTTACCAGCGCGGCTCACGGTCCCACTCGGAAAAGCTTCCCCCCAGCAGCCCGGGCGGCACGACCCGCAGCACAAGGTTCCAGGCCGCGAAGCCCTCGTTCCTGCCCGAGGACTGGCGGCCGGCGGGCCACACCCTGCGGCCTCCTCCCTCTTTGTTTTCCTCGTCGGTGTGCATCACTCACATGTTGAAAACAATGTCATGTGCCGCCGAGTCTCCTCATCGCTCCTCCCCACACCCAAATGCTGCGTTGCAATTGGAAAATTTCACTTGGAACCTACCAGGGTCTGGACCCATTTTTATTTATTTTTATCTTGATTGATGAAAGTATTACCTATGTCCCCCCTTTGCCCCCAGTGACCTCCTCCAGCCCGCCCCCGCCCCCGCCCAGGCCTTCACCGCCCTATTGTCTGTGTCCGTGGGTTATGCATATACGCATACCAGGTCTTTGGTTGATCGCCTCCCGCCTTCCCTCCGAGGTTCCCCACTCTGTGTTCCGTGCTTGCATGGGACCCATTTTAGCAGCTCCCTAGTCTAATTACTCAGAAAAGTGTTCTGAAACTCGGACTGTTAGACCCGGGAGATTGCTTCTCATTTCAAGCTGGAGTTGAGAGGAAAACCAGTTTTCACTGGCCTTTGGTGTTGCCCCCAGATGGTGAAAGGGGGTGGTGTTGAGGGGGGGGTCTTCAACCCCCATTCAGATTCCCAGCAGAACAGGAACGCTGGCAGGTGAGCTGGGCGCTTCCCGGGGAGAGGCCCCGCCTCCCCCACCCATGGTGATGTATTGATCTTTCTGGAAGACCTTCCTTTTTCAACAATATAACACACTTCTTAGTCATTTTCTCAATTTACTCATTTACCTGTTTCATTGGCTTATTCACCATCGCTCCAGCCTCACCTATGAACTCCCTGAGGGCAGGAACTGTTTCGGTTTCACTCACCACCACATAATAGGCTCAAAGCACGATGCTCAATCTATATATTTGAATGAATGAATGAAGACATGAATGCAAAAAAAATGGACAAAGGAGACCAGAGAAAGCAGTGTGATAGGAATGGAAACATCTAATTACCTCTCCCCCTTAAAAGAAAATAAGAAAATCTTTAACCATTGAATTTTTTTTTAAGTATCTTCTTTGGTTGATGTTCAGAATTTAAATACATTTAAAAAGAAAACCCCGGCCCGGCCAGCGTGGCTCAGGGGTTGAGCTTTGACCTATGAACCAGGAGGTCAGGATTTGATTCCTGGTTGGGCCATATGCCCGGGTTGCCGGCTCGATTCTGTTGTGCCCAGAATTCAAAGTTCCCAAGACCCCCAGGGAGCCAGTCAGTCCGATGCAAAAGCAAAGAGTCATTTATTTCAAACCTAGGTTTGGCTCCCCTGCCACACTCACCGATGCAACGGTAAGCTCCAGTGGCCGAGAGAGAGAGAGAGAGAGAGAGAGAGAGAGAGAGAGAGAGAGAGAGAGAGAGAGAGAGACGCCTGATGGGACAGGGGGTTTTAAAGGGGGGTGGAGTGAGGGCAGGAGAGGGGACTGTGGGCCCCGCTGATTGGCCAGGCGCGAGTCGGTCATAGTGATGGCGTGCACTTCCCTTGATTATTATTGGTTAGTCCAGAGAAATCCTGGGTGTGGCTAGTAGCGGCTTCTTCCCGTGAGGAAGCACATGGTACCGTCCCAAAATGGAGGACCCAAGGCAAGATGGAGGGCGCACGTGGCTCTGTCCCAAGATGGAAGACCCAAGGCAAGATGGAGGGCGCAGTCCTTGCCCGGCTCCTGCTGCTGCCACTCGAACTCGCCACAAGGCAGGATGGCCCTCCCGCACAGCACCCGCAGCTGGCCTGCGGGCAGACTGGGACTCCAGCGCGTCTGGGCGGCACAGGCCCAGCAAACGGGGTGCGGCCGGTGGAGTGGCCCAGCTCTGGAGGCGGCATCCGCTCGGAGCAGGCCCGGCCATGGGGCGGGTGCACTGCAGCATGGCAGCCTCCCCGAGCTAGGGCACGCGCGCCCCTTCGCTGCCGCCGCTGCTGCACTGGGCCCGGTCCGGGGGGCAGCGGGCGGGTGGCAGCCCACGCCGGGCTCCCGCCGTGGGCTGGGGAGCCAATGCCCCCCCATGGGGCCCAGCGGCTGGCCCACGCAGGCCCCGGCCCCCCCGACCGGGCCCCAAGGGCCGCATGGACCCCCGGCCCCAGCGCGGGCAAGCGGGGAGCCGACCACGGGGGAAGGGAGGGAAGAGCCAGGCGGTGAGGCCTTCCGCTCCCATGACCTCCCCCGCGCTCGGTCGCCGCCCGGCCCCACCCCTCGGCCCGCCGCCGGCCACCACGCAGCCGGTCCGGACACTCGGACCCGCTCCGGGGAGGCCAGGCCCTAGGGCGGGCGCGGAGGGATCCCAGAGCCCAGCGGCCAGACTCCTCCTCCCGCACCGCCCGGAGAGGCGGGCGGCGCGCCTTTCAGATTCCCCGGTTTGGGGCAGCCAATCGATGATTCTCATCATTGATGTTTCTTTCTCTCTCTTCTTCTCTGAAGTCAATTAAAAATAAATAAATAAATAAATAAATAAATAAATAAATAAAACCAACACTGCAATTCAAGATGCATTTCTTGTTCCCTAAATACTGTGTACAGTGCTCTCTTTTGCCTCAGGACTTGGGTACCTGTGGGTTTCTCTGATGAGAGCTCTCATCCCCTCTTTATCTCTTTAGCCTGGCCAACTTGTCCTTGCTCTTTAAGGAGCAGGATACGTCACAGCTCTCCTGGGAACCTCAGGCAGAGGAACCTGTTCCTTCTATGCATGCCCAGAGGAGCTCACAGGCTCCTCTTTAAATGCATTCATCACATTGTATCCGGTTCCTCTATATGCTCATCAGTCTTCCTAGACCAGTGATTCTCAAACTTCAGTATGTAACAGCATCTTCTAGAACAGTGGTCGGCAAACCGAGGCTCACGAGCCACATGCGGCTCTTTGGCCCCTTGAGTGTGGCTCTTCCACAGAATACCACGTGCGGGCGCGCACAACAGTGCGATTGAAACTTCGTGGCCCATGCGCAGAAGTCGGTTTTCGGCCTGGGCGAGTCTATTTTGAAGAAGTGGCGTTAGAAGAAGCGGGGGTATGTTCGCTGAGGTCGACCCCTCAGATTGAGGACGTTTTTAGCAAAGGCCAGCTTAGGAGTACCCTAATTAAGTTAATAACAATGTACGTACCTAAATAGTTTAAGTTTAAAAAATTTGGCTCTCATCAAGAGCAAAAGACAGAGAGAATTTAAAAGCAGCAAGAGAAAGAAAGTCAGTTACCTACAAGGGAGTACCATACGACTGTCAGCTGATTTCTCAACAGAAACTTTGCAGGCCAGAAGGGAGTGGCAAGAAATATTCAAAGTGATGAATAGCAAGAACCTGCAACCAAGATTACTTTATCCAGCAAAGCTATCATTCAGAATTGAAGGTCAGAGAAAGAGCTTCACGGATAAGAAAAAGCTAAAGGAGTTCATCACCACCAAACCAGTATTATATGAAATGCTGAAAGGTATCCTTTAAGAAGAGGAAGAAGAAGAAAAAGGTAAAGATACAAATTATGAACAACAAATATGCATCTATCAACAAGTGAATCTGAAAATCAAGTGAATAATCTGATGAACAGAATGAACTGGTGATTATAATAGAATCAGGGGCATAGAAAGGGAATGGACTGACTATTCTTGGGGGGGAAAGGGGTGAGGGGGATGTGGGAAGAGACTGGACAAAAATCGTGCACCTATGGATGGGGACAGTGGGTGGGGAGTGAGGGAGGAGGGTGGGGTGGGAACTGGGTGGAGGGGAGTTATGGGGGGGGAGAGAGGAACAAAGGTAATAATCTGAACAATAAAGATTTAATTAATCAAAAAAAAATTTGGCTCTCAAAAGAAATTTCAATCATTGTACTGTTGATATTTGGCTCTGTTGACTCATGAGTTTGCCGACCACTGTACTAGAACAGTGCTTCTCACATTTTAATGTGTGTGGATCCTGTTAAAATGCAGATTACGATTCAGGGCGCCTGTGATGGGGCGTCTGCACCTCTGGTTGAACTACCAGGCGATACCACACTTTGAGCAACAAGGCTCTTGGATACTTATTAAAAATGCAAATTTCTGGGACATCTCAGAATTTTTTTCTTTGGGAAAAACTCTACCAGTTTATGAAGTTTGAGGGCAGGGCCAGGCTTGGACATTGTTTCCCACTGTGCATGAAGCACTGGGTCTGGCACTGAAAATGCATTAAGCCACATTTGCAGAATGACTGTATTCTCGTACTATCACTAATACAGACCCTCGGCCCAGACCCAAGGGAGTGATACCAGAAAAGGGATAAAAAATAAAGACTGAGAACAGTCTCAGCTGGGCAGCTGTGGGCTCATAGGCCTGCAGACCAAAGGGTCCCAGGTTCGATTCCAGTCAAAGGCACGTACCGTGGTTGCAGGCTCCTCCATTTGGTCAGAAGGGGACATTTTCTTCCTCTAAATTCCAAATATTTCAGTTCATGTCTCCATTCAAAAGGCTGTCTACTAACAGTAGCCCTACCTAAAAAAAAAAATAGACCTTATTTTGTAGACAGTTTTAGGTTCACAACAAAATTGAGCAGAAAGCCAAAGCTCCCACTTACTCCCTGCCCCCATCCATGAACAACCTCCCCCACTATCAACATCCTGCACCAGGGAGGTGTGTTTGTTACAGCTGATGAACTTACACTGATACATCATTATTACCCCAAATCCACAGAGCCACCTGTCTCTTTATACCTTTAGGCCTCTCAACTGATACTATCAATTAAATCCCTGTTTCCTCAAGGTAGTGTGAGTGTTTTTCTGTCACGACTGAAAGCATCATGACTAACATTCCACCTTTCCAGACATCTCCAGAATATACCTTTGCTCCCACTCTAATCTCCGGGCTCACATTGTTAACACTCCTGGATACTCTTCCTTTCTCGTCATCGCATTATATTGCCCTCTGCGTCCCCTGAAGGG